TTGGCCAACACACACATGCAGTGCATAGTGTTGAAATTAAAGTTCCAGTTTTGAGACTTGTCCTAACAGAAACAAATCAGACCTGACAGTCAGTAGACATGTAGCTGCAGTCACCAATGGTTTTCAAATATAAGCAGCTTCCTAGCGATATCTTTTCAAAATAAACTTTCTTATCATAATTATGAGTCCATCATCACTGAAACATGCCAGTGTTGTTGTTTGCCCTGAAATTATATTTAGTGAACACAAGATAAAAATAATATCTTACATAAATTCCCATACACAGACTATCATCAGAACCACTGCATTCAAAGACAACATCAGGGGAACATCCCATAATATCCACTGTCCTCTCAGCTAGTTGTTTATTGTCTGTTTTTTCCACCATTATTACACAATCAGCACCTTTCTCCTTGGCAATACTTAACCGATGCTCATCTATATCTGAAGGGATAATAGTTTATGGCTGCTAAAGATTATTCTCAGACTTGTATGTGGTTATAAAACATGATTCTCAATCGTTTACACTGGTCGAAATCCAAAAAACATTTGTGTGCATTTTTTCAGTATTTTGTCCAACATATATTGTCAATGTGATGGTTACATATGTACCTGTAATTGCAACTGTTGCAGCTCCCATAGCCTTGGCAGTTAATAAAACTAACAACCCAACTGGACCTGAAATAGAACATGAGACAAGTGAATAGCAAAATATTTATCCACATCTTACATCGGGCTTAACATTGGCTGATAGCATGCAGGCCCAAGCTGGTTGGCTACATTACATTGGATGATAGCATGCAGGCCCAGACTGGTTGGCTACATTACATTGGCTGATAGCATGCAGACCCAGGCTGGTTGGCTACATTACATTGGCTGATAGCATGCAGGCCCAGACTGGTTGGCTGCATTACATTGGCTGATAGCATGCAGGCCCAGACTGGTTGGCTACATTACATTGGCTGATAGCATGCAGGCCCAGGCTGGTTGGCTACATTACATTGGCTGATAGCATGCAGGCCCTGGCTGATAGCATGCAGGCTCAGACTGGTTGGCCACATTACATTGGCTGATAGCATGCAGGCCCAGACTGGTTGGCTACATTACATTGGCTGATAGCATGCAGGCCCAGACTGGTTGGCTACATTACATTGGCTGATAGCATGCAGGCCCAGGCTGGTTGGTTACATTACATTGGCTGATAACATGCAGGCCCAGGCTGGTTGGCTACATTACATTGGCTGATAGCATGCAGGCCCAGACTGGTTGGCTACATTACATTGGCTGATAGCATGCAGGCCCTGGCTGTTAGCATGCAGGCCCAGGCTGGTACGCTACATTACATTGGCTGATAGCATGCAGGCCCTGGCTGATAGCATGCAGGCCCAGGCTGGTTGGCTACATTACATTGGCTGATAGCATGCAGGCCCAGGCTGGTTGGCTACATTACATTGGCTGATAGTATGCTGGCCCTGGCTGATAGCATGCAGGCCCAGGCTGGTTGGCTACATTACATTGGCTGATAGCATGCAGGCCCTGGCTGGTTGGCTACATTACATTGGCTGATAGCATGCAGGCCCTGGCTGATAGCATGCAGGCCCAGGCTGGTTGGCTACATTACATTGGCTGATAGCATGCAGGCCCTGGCTGATAGCATGCAGGCTCAGACTGGTTGGCCACATTACATTGGCTGATAGCATGCATGCCCAGACTGGTTGGCTACATTACATTGGCTGATAGCATGCAGGCCCTGGCTGTTAGCATGCAGGCCCAGGCTGGTACGCTACATTACATTGGCTGATAGCATGCAGGCCCTGGCTGATAGCATGCAGGCCCAGGCTGGTTGGCTACATTACATTGGCTGATAGCATGCAGGCCCAGGCTGGTTGGCTACATTACATTGGCTGATAGTATGCTGGCCCTGGCTGATAGCATGCAGGCCCAGGCTGGTTGGCTACATTACATTGGCTGATAGCATGCAGGCCCAGACTGGTTGGCTACATTTCATTGGCTGATAGCATGCAGGCCCTGGCTGATAGCATGCAGGCCCAGGCTGGTTGGCTACATTACATTGGCTGATAGCATGCAGGCCCTGGCTGATAGCATGCAGGCTCAGACTGGTTGGCCACATTACATTGGCTGATAGCATGCAGGCCCAGACTGGTTGGCTACATTACATTGGCTGATAGCATGCAGGCCCAGGCTGGTTGGTTACATTACATTGGCTGATAACATGCAGGCCCAGGCTGGCTGGCTACATTACATTGGCTGATAGCATGCAGGCCCAGACTGGTTGGCTACATTTCATTGGCTGATAGCATGCAGGCCCTGGCTGATAGCATGCAGGCCCAGGCTGGTTGGCTACATTACATTGGCTGATAGCATGCAGGCCCTGGCTGATAGCATGCAGGCTCAGACTGGTTGGCCACATTACATTGGCTGATAGCAAGCAGGCCCAGACTGGTTGGCTACATTACATTGGCTGATAGCATGCAGGCCCAGGCTGGTTGGTTACATTACATTGGCTGATAACATGCAGGCCCAGGCTGGCTGGCTACATTACATTGGCTGATAGCATGCAGGCCCAGACTGGTTGGCTACATTACATTGGCTGATAGCATGCAGGCCCAGGCTGGTACGCTACATTACATTGGCTGATAGCATGCAGGCCCTGGCTGATAGCATGCAGGCCCAAGCTGGTTGGCTACATTACATTGGCTGATAGCATGCAGGCCCAGGCTGGTTGGCTACATTACATTGGCTGATAGCATGCAGGCTCAGGCTGGTTGGCTACATTACATTGGCTGATAGCATGCAGGCCCAGACTGGTTGGTTACATTACATTGGCTGATAGCATGCTGGCCCAGGCTGGTTGGCTACATTACATTGGCTGATAGCATGCAGGCCCAGACTGGTTGGCTACATTTCATTGGCTGATAGCATGCAGGCCCTGGCTGATAGCATGCAGGCCCAGACTGGTTGGCTACATTACATTGGCTGATAGCATGCAGGCCCTGGCTGTTAGCATGCAGGCCCAGGCTGGTACGCTACATTACATTGGCTGATAGCATGCAGGCCCTGGCTGATAGCATGCAGGCCCAGGCTGGTTGGCTACATTACATTGGCTGATAGCATGCAGGCCCAGGCTGGTTGGCTACATTACATTGGCTGATAGTATGCTGGCCCTGGCTGATAGCATGCAGGCCCAGGCTGGTTGGCTACATTACATTGGCTGATAGCATGCAGGCCCTGGCTGGTTGGCTACATTACATTGGCTGATAGCATGCAGGCCCTGGCTGATAGCATGCAGGCCCTGGCTGATAGCATGCAGGCCCTGGCTGATAGCATGCAGGCCCAGGCTGGTTGGCTACATTACATTGGCTGATAGCATGCAGGCCCAGACTGGTTGGCTACATTACATTGGCTGATAGCATGCAGGCCCAGGCTGGTTGGCTACATTATATTGGCTGATAGCATGCAGGCTCAGGCTGGTTGGCTACATTACATTGGCTGATAGCATGCAGGCCCAGACTGGTTGGTTACATTACATTGGCTGATAGCATGCTGGCCCAGGCTGGTTGGCTACATTACATTGGCTGATAGCATGCAGGCCCAGACTGGTTGGCTACATTTCATTGGCTGATAGCATGCAGGCCCTGGCTGATAGCATGCAGGCCCAGACTGGTTGGCTACATTACATTGGCTGATAGCATGCAGGCCCTGGCTGATAGCATGCAGGCCCAGGCTGGTTGGCTGCATTACATTGGCTGATAGCATGCAGGCCCAGACTGGTTGGCTACATTACATTGGCTGATAGCATGCAGGCCCAGACTGGTTGGCTGCATTACATTGGCTGATAGCATGCAGGCCCAGACTGGTTGGCTACATTACATTGGCTGATAGCATGCAGGCCCAGGCTGGTTGGCTACATTACATTGGCTGATAGCATGCAGGCCCTGGCTGATAGCATGCAGGCTCAGACTGGTTGGCTACATTACATTGGCTGATAGCATGCAGGCCCAGGCTGGTTGGTTACATTACATTGGCTGATAACATGCAGGCCCAGGCTGGTTGGCTACATTACATTGGCTGATAGCATGCAGGCCCAGACTGGTTGGCTACATTACATTGGCTGATAGCATGCAGGCCCAGGCTGGTTGGCTACATTACATTGGCTGATAGTATGCTGGCCCTGGCTGATAGCATGCAGGCCCAGGCTGGTTGGCTACATTACATTGGCTGATAGCATGCAGGCCCTGGCTGGTTGGCTACATTACATTGGCTGATAGCATGCAGGCCCTGGCTGATAGCATGCAGGCCCTGGCTGATAGCATGCAGGCCCTGGCTGATAGCATGCAGGCCCAGGCTGGTTGGCTACATTACATTGGCTGATAGCATGCAGGCCCAGACTGGTTGGCTACATTACATTGGCTGATAGCATGCAGGCCCAGGCTGGTTGGCTACATTATATTGGCTGATAGCATGCAGGCTCAGGCTGGTTGGCTACATTACATTGGCTGATAGCATGCAGGCCCAGACTGGTTGGTTACATTACATTGGCTGATAGCATGCTGGCCCAGGCTGGTTGGCTACATTACATTGGCTGATAGCATGCAGGCCCTGGCTGATAGCATGCAGGCCCAGACTGGTTGGCTACATTACATTGGCTGATAGCATGCAGGCCCTGGCTGATAGCATGCAGGCCCAGGCTGGTTGGTTACATTACATTGGCTGATAGCATGCAGGCTCAGGCTGGTTGGCTACATTACATTGGCTGATAGCATGCAGGCCCAGACTGGTTGGTTACATTACATTGGCTGATAGCATGCTGGCCCAGGCTGGTTGGCTACATTACATTGGCTGATAGCATGCAGGCCCAGACTGGTTGGCTACATTTCATTGGCTGATAGCATGCAGGCCCTGGCTGATAGCATGCAGGCCCAGACTGGTTGGCTACATTACATTGGCTGATAGCATGCAGGCCCTGGCTGATAGCATGCAGGCCCTGGCTGATAGCAAAGACCAAGTTTAGTGTATACAGTCAAATTAGGGGCATTCTGAAGGGGATGGGGCTTAGCCAAACATAAACCTTAAAATAGAAATGTCCCGAAAGTGGCGGGTGGGCGCTTAGCTGAGTATGGGCACTAACTTAGGCGAGGGTTCTCCGAACTCTCCTATTCACATAGTTCATACCCACCATAGACTCCGGTCAGTCAAAATGGCTATTTTGAACTGTATGCATTAATCAGCGATTCTGCCAGTGACGAAGAGATAGAATCTAGGTCAGGGGAAGCCCCATGACCTCAAGATTCTTTTACCCCTTACGTCACGAACCCATGTGATCGAGGCCACATGGCAGCGCCATAGGTAGCCGTCAATCACTCTGGTTCCTTTCTCTCTGCCTCGAGGACTTAGACCAATGCAATGGAAAGAGTGGAGAGGTTGGGGGGACCCAGAGTTTATGGTGGGTATGAACTATGTGAATAGGCACCTAAATTCACTACCTTCAATTACCCACCATAGACTCTGGTCAGTCAAAATGACTATTTTGAACTGTAGGCAGAGTCAGACACCGATAGGTGGCGGGTTTTTCCGAGCAAACAGAAAAAAAAGGATGAAAGTCTTTTCCCAGTCCGGGATGACAACAAACTCAACACCCTAGTTAAGACCCAAAAAAG